ATGGGCTGAATGATGAACACAGATGACCGATTTTGATTGGTCTAAAGTTTCGACTATGTTTAGGCATTTCAACGCTTATTTAAACCCGCCGAAACCTGTCAAAACATTTAGACTTTTGACGGATTTAGTTTTGACTTTCGACATTAGCCTATTATGGTTTATTCCTGCAACTATAAGCTAACAAAAAAGCAAATCCTAAAGTCTTTATTAAAAGAATACTATTAGTTATAATGAGACTAGTTTGAATTGCATTTTTATCTAAAAAGTTAAAACTTTTTCAATAAAAAAAAAACTTTTCTTTTTATTATGTTTAAACCTAGCTTTATATAATTTAGAATCTATAGTAAACTAATAGTCCTTTTCTTTTAACATATCACTAACTATATCTTCACTAACTTCATATATTTACTAGGTCTTTTTTGTTTTAGTAATATGAATGAAGTATTTTTTAAATAAATATCTTTTTTTTAGCAGTAAGAGACTTTCATTTTTTTTAAAGGTTTATTACTATATTACTTAGCAATTTTATATAAAAAAATTGTGGAACATACATATTTAAAAAAACACTTTTGATAACTTTATTAAAGTACAAAAAATTACAAATTTCATGCACAAAGATTATTTTTTCTACTAAAATTCATTTTTGTAAATCTTCATTGTATTAAAAAAAAACTTCATTATAAATAAATGTATTATAAAAAAAGTATATATATAATACATATTCACAAACTTAAATTCATTAAACGTAATACAAATTTTGTTTACTAAATTCAGTATAGCAAGAATTTTCTATATTTAAAAATCTGTATCACATTAAAGATTCATTGTATTATAAAATTCATTATATCAAAATTTGCTATAGAAAGAGTTGACTTACTTACATCTTTTAAAATTAAAGCTTTTATTATTATATCATAAGTTGAATTCCATTTGATTGGTATATGTAAAATTGGTTTTAAATCACTTATTTCATTAAATTTACATATATCACTTAATTTTTCACATTATTGAGAAAAACAATGAATTTTTATAATAAGTTATTTAAGCTATAAAATTAAAAATTTTTAAATTTTGAATTTATTTAGTTATATATATTGTAAAAAAAACCTTTTTTTATAAATAAAAAAATAAACCTGAATTAATTTATCATTTAAATAACTTAATGCTTCTTGTACGCTTAAATTAATAACATATGAGAGCATTTCCAGTAAAATCACATTATGAATCATATGATTTACTATACCTCATAACTTGATTTTACTGAAAACGTTCCCATATACAAAACATCTAAAATGTCCATATTTTTTTAAAAAAAATCTTCTAATCTTCTAATAAATAGGTAAATCTATCATTATTTTTAGCGTTATTTAATGTAATACTTATTAACTCTTATAAAATAAATATTAAATATTTGTTTAAATTTATAATTAAATTCAAATCAAATCAAGAAAATAAAATTTTACTTTATTTTGATAAATTTTCTAATTATTAACAAATATATATTTTATATTTTCTTTAGAATGTAAATCATTAATTTGTATAAAATCAATTAAAATATTTTGTAATTTTCAATTAATATCATTAAAATGAGCAGTTATAGATAAAAATAATTTTGTTGAAGAAGATATTCAAGTATCAATAATAAAAGAAATTTTTCAGGAGGTTCTTATAGAATGGCTTATATATTTTTTGAATTTATTTTATAAACATCTATAATATTTCTTTTTATAATATTGGTAGGATGAAACTTAGATTATGATAAAGTAAATTTATTGATTCAATAAAAAAAATTTCTTTATAATAGTAAATGGATATTGATAAATAACAATTCATTTTATAAGTTTCTTTTTCATTTCACTATTACGATATGACCACTAATATTATATATATAAAAAATTTATTAGAAATAAATTTAAAGAATAATAATATTTATTAATAATTAAAAAAAAAATAGTTATTTTAGATTTATTATACATTTCTGAAATTATTAAATCTTTTGAATTCTTATTTTTATATTATGAAATGTATTTAAATGTGTTGATATATTTGAAATATTACTTCCAATATAAAATAAGTTATATTACAATATTTATATATAGCTTTTTTATTTGTTTTATAATTAATATCTTTAAAATGTTTTTAAACCTCATTACCTTTTATTAAAAGTAATTTTAGTAATGTTTGTAAAGAATTGATTTCAATTTCAAAATTATTTGAAATATCTTGTTGACTATATTCAAATTTATCTATTAAATTCATCATTAAAAGTCAAAAAATAAATTAAATTAATTAATCTTATAATTAAAAATATATATTATAAAAATAATATATATCTAAAAGAAAAAAGGCAAATAAAGAAAAAAGAAAATAATATAATACTAAATTATTATCGTTATTTTTATAAAAAAAAATTTATTAAAAAAATAAATCATAAAAAACTTTAAAAGAAATATATTTCTTGCTTAATCATTTAATAAATTGTTATAATCAGAAAATATTTCTATAAAAAAAAATAGGATGAGTCTAATTGTAACAACCCTTTACTTATAATATATGTAACAATCTTGGAAAATAGGATCAGATTTGACCAAAATTATAGCATAATGCCGACCAGTTTTTCAAATAAATAATCTGTAATAAAATGGTTATCGGCATATGACATGTATTATTTTTTTTATGATGTATTTTTATAATGCTAATGTAAATTAAGATAATTTGTTTATTTAAAAAATCAAAAACATTTTCCTATAATCCTTTATTAAAAGAATTAATATTCAACTGCAGCTATGATATATTATTCACATAGTCCATAAAAATTAGCAAATTTATCTTAGCCAATCAGATATCTTTTGCTTACCATGCTTTTTTTAACTCTAAAAGTCCGCCCTAACAAAAAAGATGAAAAAATAACCAATTTTCCCGCTCAGCCTATTCTACATATCCAATTATTCCACCCTCATTTTCGTTCAAATTCGCTAAGAAATTTAGAAATATATTCAGGATTTTGATTTCATATTATGACCTAAAATATTAAAAATTGATTAGATAAAGAAATACAATAAACAAATGAATAAAAAGAATGAATACTTACTGATTCTGACACCTTGCACTATTATGTCCTGATTGATCGCATGAATTACAAGTGTATTTTGCATGTGGTTTCTTTTCAGTTGATAATTTGTATCATTTTGTTTTAGGATATCCTTTGCGTCATAATACTAATGGATTTTCAATTAGTTCAGATTTATTTTCTTTGTTAATATCATCTCGATTTCGTATTAATCCAGTATGTGTAATTATCATTTCTTTGTGCCGATTAATAAACTGTCTTAACCATTTGATAATCTCACTATGACTGTTATGTTTAATAGCATATTGAGTTGCCTGCCACGCAAGTACCTACACTTCCCCATATTTGGCCTACTTTTTGCCGTGTAACATAAAACAGTAGTAACTGTTGTAGAAACAGTTAAAGGATTTGGAGTAAATATCATGCCCAAAAAAATTTCTATAGCCTCTTGGCTTATAAAGCAACAAGTCTCTGCTGTTGTATTATTGTCTTTTTGAATATCAATATACCATCGTGAAGATATCATTTGGATTTGAAATCTTGCGACTGTTGAAATCATCATTACTCGAAAATAGTGGTGACAAACAATGCTATGGGATAATTAAATATGCAAGAACAAAGATAAGAAATAGGATCAACTACTACTACAAAATATACATGTTTTTTATTTTCGGATCGCATATCTATAATCTTTCATACTTCGCGAATGCTATTTTCACCAACTTCAGCAATCATCAATTTCAATAAAATTTGTTTAGCATTATACAAGTCCTCAATAAATCCATCTGTCACATTAATGTCTGGATCTTATATAGCAAAAGTTTTAGATGTTGGATTTTATTAATGATTTAATCCCAAAATTAGGATGCAAATTACCTCAACTATATCTGGTCCAGCTTTATTCACAATAAAGTAAAGGCATTGCGCTATTTCCAAGCGTTCAGCAGATAAGATATGAGACGTCAGGTATTTAGACATCATTTGTTAATATCAGGAAAAAGATCATTGCTGACCAATATGATTCTCATACAGGTCGATAGGGTACGGTATTCGAAAAAATGGTTCCATTACACTTCATTTCCAAGCTGTGCATCAAGGATACTGGCAAGATTACACAAGGTACAGTTTGCTCTTAACTCACGTTTAATAATATTATTCAAACCCTTAACGCAGAAAGAAGTTTGTACTCCCACGGTAAATATCTTTAATGTAAATGCATGAGTTTATGCTTATTGGCTAGGGAGAGGGCTTTCATTAAATAATCTTTTACTTTGAGATATTTTTTGATAAGACTTGACCATTTTTCATAAAAAAATTCTTTACACAAATTATTATGATATATAAAAAATTCACAAACGAAACTATCATATTGATCACTAAGCTTATATTTGAGATTTTTTAGTAGGTTTTCGCTAATGTGAAAAATACAATGGATTGGGTAGGTTGTTAACTATATTTATCTGATTGTTGCGTCTGCAGCAGGATCTGCATCAGTAACGAATACTAATAGTTTAGTCATTGTTGCTTTTTTTGTATATTCTAGGATTCTTTATAGGATTCGGTAATTTCGTCAGACATAAGAGCTTGTGTAACAAGATGAGACCTAGTATTATTATCAACGACAAGAAAAGTGAAAGTAGCATTTAATAGCAATTGGTTTTAAGGTATTATCATTCAAAATAATGTCATGGTATTCCAACCAAAGAGCAATCTGAGTTGCAGACATCTAAAAAAGTCAGGTAAGTCTATTTTCTTCATCAAGTTGAAACTCGAAAAACCATCTAGGATACTCTAACTAATGTTGAATGAGTTTTTTTAATAAACAAGATGCATCATGTATTACTTCTGCTTTAAAATTATATTTTTATATTGCATTAACGAGATCTCAATTGAGAATAGATAGAGTCGGAAACTTTGCTTTTAATAACTTTCATTGAGTAGTAATGTATAGATTTCCATGTTCTGTAAGGAATTGGATTTCTTTGAGAACGTCATCATCAAAGACATACCGATATTTTGTTGAGTACTCTTCAGTATTAGAAAATAGCATGTGATTATACGAATTATTCAAAGTAGTAAGGACTATGGTTTGAGAATTTTGAAGGCAATTGTAATTTGCATTCAATACACATTGTTAGCGTTTTGATTTATGATTTTGATATTTATTAATATTGATTAGTTTTTTTGGTTGATAACGGCAGCCAAATTTACATCCAAAACTACGATGCTTAATATTGCCATTTTCATAATGAATTAACCATTTCTTTATAATTGCAAATCCATGTTTTTACCGTAAGCTTTCATAATAGTGTCAACACTTTTCCATGATTCAAAAACACAACTAACACAAAGGTTTATAGCTGGATTTTAAGGGTAAAGTAATATGTCAGTAGTTTATTTGACTCTAATAAATAGATGCAAATAAACAAACTAATAATCTCACCTTCATTATTTGAGTTCAGAGTTCCATCTTCTAGGTTCAAATGTGTTATATTTGAGTTTAAAGGTATTTCATCTTCTAGGTTCAAAGGTATTAAATTTGGATTCAGGGCTATTTTATCTTCTGGGTTCATAGTTGTTATATTGTTCAACTCAACCTGTTCTATATTAGAAAACAATTAAATAGATATATTAGCAGAATCAATTTTTTACTTATTACTTTTTACATATATAGAGTATTTACATATTATAATCACAAAGCATCATAAAAGAAGTATCATCTTGATTTAGACATAGTTTTGTGAGGTAAAAATGATTACAACGCAAAAAAAAGCGAAGCAAAAAAAGTTATCTATTTGGGATTTGATGACTGCTATGCAAAAGAATGACCATAATGCAAAAAAAGTGAAACAAGAAAGTTTCTATTTGAGGTTTGACTGCTATGACCATAATGCAAAAAGAAGCTAATCTACACAAAAAAATAGCAGAACTGTAAAAAAAAAGCCAAAGAAAATTATTACAATTCTGCTTATTACAATATTTGTATACTTTATTAACTATTTTTTAGATTATCAAATTATAGGATAAGTATATTTGTATGATACAATATGAACTTGAAAAAAAAAAAATTTTTTTTTATCCAAAGATTATTGTGTCACACAAAAAATTCAGTTTTCGTATAACAGAAAATTACATAAAAATGCGTGATGCAACGCAATAGAAATATCACACAAAAATGCATAACGCAACGCAGTAGAAACGGCACATAAAAAATGCGTGACGTTCTACGCATCACGTGATTTTTGAGGTTATTGCAAATAAAAACATATAACAAGTTGTTACAAATAGACATTTTCAAAAAAATAAATATTATATTATAAAAAAAAATTTTAATTATTCTTTAATTAGTTAAAAAAAACAGTCTAATATTTATAATTAAATCTATATAATTAAAATAAAAGTGTAATATTTAGATTATTATCTTATATAAAATAATTGAATTGTATAATATACATCATACTATAATATAAAAAAATTGATTTTCCTTTTTTCAATATAGTATTAATTGGATGATCTTAAAATATTTTTTAGTTTAAAAAAACTTTTTTTTTGATTACAGTAAATAATTTTATTTATTTTCTTTATTCTTCTTTTTAGATTCAAATTTCATAATGATACTGCAGATTTCAAAAAGTAGGCATTTTTTTTAATAATTGTTAACATTAATGCTTCTGTCATTTCTTCCTCTTGGGTTACTACTTTGGCAGTTTTAATAAAGGTAATAGAAATTCAGATTACATATTTTCTTATTTTATTGTTAATATTAACTATTCTAATTCATGTTAGCATTTTTCTTTAAGCCAATCATTTCTAAGGATAAGGATTTCATTCTTTGATTCCAAAACTTAAAAAGAAATGAGAATTTGAAGCTTTTCAATATTAACTAACACATTATCAATAATTTTAAGAGAGCGTTTTCTAGCTTCATTAGTAGTGATTATAATCATTTTTGAAGATTGATTGATTATAAGTCTAAGCTTATCTAATAATGACTTGGTAATTATGCTTGTAACAACTCTACTAATATAGCAGTTTGTGCTTTTTGTCTAATACGAAGTATACATTTAGTAACAGTAATTGGTTCATTATCACTTTTTACCAAATTAGCTTCTATTGTATCTTTCTCTCTTAAACATCTAACAGCTTGAGCTAATCCTAATCGATACTTTGATATTGCATATGCTGCTTATCTTATAAAGAGTCTATATGATAAGTTTTGTAGATAAATAAAAACATTAAATTTCATAAGTTGTTTGATTGAAGCTAATAATAATTAACATTGTGAAGATTTTTTAGCCTTTTTTGTAACCATTAGCTTTAATGTAATTTGTTAAGATTCTATTTCTTTTTCGAGCATATTAGGACTAAAATGTTGAGTCATAGTAGGTCTCAAAAGCTCCTTTCTTTAGGATTCTCTTTGTCTTCTTCTTTGAAATCAAATTATTAGGATAAGGCCTAGATCTAATATTTAAAAAGACTTCATATTCTTCTTTTTTCTCAGTTTCATAATCATATTGAAGACATTTCCTACTAAAGTGTCTAACTTTTTTATAATTAAAATATGATAGATTCATTTATTATGGTTTCCTTTAATTGTCAGAGAAATTTCTATTATTGGTAAAATTTCTTTCATTAGGAAAATTTCGTTTATTATTGAAATTTCTCTCATTGTTAAAATTTCTTCTTCTTGGACGCGTTTGAGGTTGAGCTAATAAGGCAGTTATCAAATTAGCATAATTAAGAGACAACTGTTTCATTCATTTTGTTAATTCATCAACTTCATTACTAGAAAAAGTACTTTTAGGAGTAGCAGAAGTAATACTAGTAGTTATATTAAGATTTTTAGGCATTCTACCAGTTGTTAAGTTATAACCGATTTCAATAGTTCTTGCTGAATTTACTGTAGCATATAAATCAGCTAAATTTTGGAAATATACAAAATGTGTATATGCAAAATTAAGTCTCATAAAGAATTTTTTTTTCTTTTGCATATTATTAGTCATTCTGATTATTTTTACTAATTTCTTGAATTTGTTAGTGTACAAGTCAACAGATTCATCAGTTTGTTGTCAAAACACAAATAATTCTTGATATTATTGAATTTTCTTGGTTTCATTAATAAAACTTGCTTTAAAAGGTCTACAAAGTTATTCCCAGTATTGGTTTCTATATTTTTAATAATCTCTAATAGCTGCTGAGATTTCTTCAAACCAGTCTGCAGCTACATTTTCATATGTCTTCCAGCTATAGCTTTTTTTCTAGCTTCTGTAGTCCATCAGCTAGTAATTAATACTCATACAAAAGAAGTAAGCCATTCACTAGGGTTTTTATTCTCAGTTCCATGAAAATAATCAACTATAATTATGTGTCCTTCTCTACGTAAATTCACTCCTTCTACACTGAAGATACCTTCTAATGCTTGTCTTATTTGATCTTCTGTTACCATAATTTCTGTTGGTTCAGGTAGTAGGATTCAAATGGTTGAGTTAGATAAACTATTAGTAGAGGGGATTGGTGAAGCAAGTATTTGATGTAATAACTATCTGTCTCTTTATATTTGTAGTAAATCTTAGTTTAATATTTCAATATAAACACTCCTTGAGATAGAAAGTGTAACTTGTCATTCAAAACAGTTAGTATTAAATACTACACTTTAAATATATAAATATAAATGTCAAATAATATAATATAGGTATAATCCAATAGCGAATACTAGAAAATATTGATATTATAATACTTTTTAATCATTTGTTATGATATTCTGATTCAGTAGTATAGTATAGGCTTTTAAATAAATTAAATGAAATAGTAGTTCTTGCAGAGTAAGTATCAGCTTAATACTCAAAGTAAATCATTCCAAAAGTATATAAAACTATCTGTGAGATTATTATTTGAGTGTGAAGAATAACACTAAAAACAAGTATAATCTATGTTTAAGCTAATATTAAAATAGTATATAATAATATACTCAGTTGTATTACATTCAACTTCTTTAAAATTCATACACCTTGCTAGTTCGTCAGCGGTTTATTGTATATATTATCAACAAAGAATAGCTTGACAGGAATTATCACTTGTTAAGCTTAAACTGTTCGTTGTTAAGTTAACAAAGATTATTTGCTAGTAGGGAGTTTAAGTATATTTAAACTATGAAAGAAATAAATACGAATAATTAAATTGAAGGATCAGGTCATCTTTATTGATATAGATTTAAAGAAGAATAAATTATTTTTACGAGCAAAGATAAGTTTTTAGAAATAAATATTATTGATATATTAGAGAATTTTAGTGACTATGCCATTTAGCAGGTCAAAGATACAAGATATTTATATAAAATATATCAATCAATATGAAATAGATATTTAAGAAAATAAAGAAATATAAGAAATATAATAAAATAATGAAATTAAATATATTAGAAAAATGTGTGAAATTAGAAATCGCTAAGAAATTAGTAAAATTAGAGAAATCAGAGAAATAGTAGAAAGTTGAAAATTATAATTGTTAAAATTACCATTCGTCAGTTATATTTGATGCAGTATCATAGATTATCACTAATATAATTATTAAAAATTGTTGGATTTTTTTAATTTTTTCCATGATATTTTCATGTTTAGTATATAAGAAGTAAGTTGAAAATATTATGTTTAAGAAATATAAAAGAAAGATAAAATTAAATTTCAAATAAAAACTTTCTCATATGATTAAAAAATTAATATTAATATTTAAAAATTTGGAAAAAAATAGCATAAAAAATTTATGTATATAATTCTATATTAGTGATTAATTATTTAGTATAATATTAGTTTAGAGCATGGTTTCATATTTAAAATTTTATGATCTTTGTCAAGAATTTTTAAAATCATATGATCAACTTCTTATTTAAATAAATTAAAAATTTTGTGTAATTAAAATATTTTTTGGATTTACTTAAAATTTGAAAAAATATTTCAGATCCTAATTTTTTTATATAATAACCCATATGTTTTGTATTTCAATTTTAATATTATACTACTCATATTATTAACAAAATTTATTAAATTACAGGAAAATTTTTATTAATGACTATATTTTGAATTTTATGATAAATCAAAAAGTTTTTTTAGGAATTACTCTTCACTATTACTTTAAAAAAAATGTTAAAGTATTAGTTTAAAGAAACTATTTCCAAAAAACTTCTGATATTAGAATAATAACTAATAAGACAGGATTACTTGTAAAATTATAACTGATAAATTAATTATATTATAAATTTATAATATTTTTATAATTGAATTTTCTTATAAATTTAACTAATTTAAAAAGAATATTAAAATTAAATATGCTCATTGAAACTTCCTTAAAATAATTTCGTCATATAGGACCTGATCTATTAAAAATGGCTTATAAGACTAGTAAATTGATTTTGAGTAATTGATGATCAAAAAATAGTTATGCCACAATAAACATACTTAGCCAATAAAAAATTGCACTAAAAATAATATTGAGTCTAATTAATTAATAAGACAATACTTTAATTTTATATATATAATATTTATTATAATAATTATTTTTACAAATATTAAATTATTTTAAAAATAATGAAACTATAAAATATCTAAAATTTTGCTATTATCTCCACCTTATCAAAAATATTGTTACATCAACTTAAGATTTTTGAGATTTTGCTATTAAACTATACTCCAAAGCATTTTTATATATGTCAATCATTTGTCAATCATTGTTAAAATTTACATTAATCATTTCTATAAAATCTAATTTTAGATATTTGATATAAATTACACAGAAATTTAAGCATTTTTGTTGGCCAAATTACTTGTTTTATTAATAAGTTAATAGTCTTTGAAATTTAACCAAATAAAGTTTATTTAATATATTATAATATGAATCAAAAATCTCATTTTTGTTGAAAGGTTCCTTTTAATAATATAGCTCCTATATAGTTTCAGTTAATTTCAGGTTTCAGGATTTTGTCTTACCTCTCACTATGTTTTAATATCATTTTAGCTATTAATTAATTTCTTTTTTTAGGTTTTGTCTCTCATCTTTAATTAAAGTATTTGTTAAAAAAACTATCAGTTTATAGGTTTCAAAACTTCTGATATTAGGATTATAACTAAAAAAGTAGAATTGCTTATAATGTTATAATTGATAAATTAATTATATTATAAAGTTAAGAAAATTTTTTATAAATGAATTTTATTACAAATTCACTTAATTACTTTAAAATGAATATTAAAGTTTTGTTTAAAGAAAATATCAGCTAGTAGGTTGATTATTTTATAAATTTAAAAATGTTTTTCATAATTAAATTTTTTTTACAAATAAGTTACTTTAAAAAGAATGTTAAAGTATTTATTAAAGAAACCATCAGTTAGTAGATTTCAAAAACTTATAATATTAGGATTGTAATTAAAAATGCAGGATTGCCTGTAAAGTTATAACTGATAGATTAATTATATTATAAAATTAAGAACGTTTTTCATAATTAAATTTTTTTGTAAATTTGCTACTTTAAAATAAATGTTATAATGTTTGTTAAATAAACAATTAGGTTCAAAAAAATTCTGATATTAGAATTGTAGTTAGAAAAGTCTAATTTTTCTGTAATATTACAACTAATAAGTTGATTATAATATAAAGTTAGTAATATTTTTTATAATTGAATTTCTTATAAATTCGGTTTTTTTAAAATAATATTAAAGTATTCAGTTAAAACACTTTCAGCTGGTAAATTTTAAAAACTTTTTATACGTATAAAGATAGGATTGCTTGCAATATTATAACTGATAAGTTAATTATATTATAAAGTTAAAAATTGATTTTTATAAATAAATTTTTTTACAATTCACTTACTTTAAAAGAATATTGAAGTATTTGTTTTAAAAAAATGTCAGCTGATATATTGATTATATTATAAATTTAGAAATATTTTTTATATTTGAATTTTTTTTACAAATACAGTTACTTTAAAAAGAATATTAAGTGTTTGTTTAAACAAACTTTTTTCAAAAAACTTATAATATTAGGAATATAATTAAAAAGGTAGAATTTCTGTAACATTATAACTGATAGGTTAATTATATTATAAAATTAAGAATGTTTTTGTTAATTAAATTTTCTTGCAAATTCATATACTTTAAAAATGAATGTTATAATGTTTGTTAAAGAAACAATTAGGTTCAAAAAAATTCTAATATTAGAATTGTAGTTAGAAAAGCCTAATTTTTCTATAATATTACAACTAATAAGTTGATTATAATATAAAGTTAGTAATATTTTTTAATTGAATTTCTTATAAATTCAGTTTTTTTAAAAGAATATTAAAAGTATTTAGTTAAAAAAACTTTCAGCTGGTAAATTTCAAAAACTTTTTATACGTAGGAAGATAGGATTACTTGTAACATTATGACTGATAGGTTAATTATATTATAAAGTTAAAAATTGATTTTTATAAATAAATTTTCTTACAATTTACTTACTTTAAAAGAATATTAAAGTATTTGTTTTAAGAAAATATCAGCTGATATGTTGATTATATTATAAATTTAGACATATTTTTCATATTTAAATTTTTTTTACAAATACAGTTACTTTAAAAAGAATGTTAAGTGTTTGTCTAAACAAACTTTTTTTAAAAAACTTATAATACTAGGATTGTAATTAGAAAGGTAGAATTTCTATAATATTTTAACTGATTGGTTAATTATATTATAAAATTAATAATGTTTTTGTTAATTAAATTTTCTTGCAAATTTAGTTAATTTAAAATGAATATTAAAATGTTTAATATTTATTAAAGAAACTATCAGCTGGTAGGTTCTAAAACCTTATAATTAGAAAAGCTTAATTTTTATATAATATTACAACTGATAAGTTGATTATATTATAAATTAGTAATATTTTTTATAATTAAATTTTCTTATAAATTCAATTACTTAAAAGAATATTAAAAGTGTTTAGTTTAAGAAACCATCAGTTGGTAAGTTTAAAAAGCTTTTAATATGTAAAAAGGCTGAATTACTTATATGATCTTCTAAATTTGTAAAGGTGTGATTTATATTTAATAGGTTAATTTGATTTATTATATTTATTAGATATTTTAGAGAATACAATGTATTATAATGAATATGTATATAAAATTAATATGAAAGTATATTAATTAAATTAAAAATAAAGAAAATAAATTTATTAGATAAATATGAAGTAAATAAAATAAATGCAACTATTACTGCTTTTATTGACACTTTGTAATAGGCCTATAGAGAAAATAAAACTACAGTGAACTCTTGATATAACAAATTCTAGGATCTGAATATCAACTTTGTTATAAGCTTATAACGAATTTTTTAAAGAATTTAATTGGCTAGTTCACTATAGTAAAGGTAATTTTAATATATTTGATTTAAAAATTCGCTATATTAAAGGTTCGCTATATCAAGGTTTGACTGTATCTAATTCTATCTAAAAGCAAGACAAATCATCCTTCTTTTTATAATAAATTCTCTTCCTATAGCTTAATTATAGAATTTTTGGCAGGATTATGGCTTGACTAATGATAATACTTATTGATCATTTTGTTATGTCAAAAATGGTCATTTTGATATATATATTCTATCATATCGAGATATTCTAAATTATTTAAAAGTCTGAAAACTCAATTTTAACTGATATGTCAGAATTATCAGCAAATTGATCATCAGAATTGCGAAATCCAATTTTAAGTGCAGTCAATTTCTGAGAGTGACACTTGCAATATTATAATAATGGAATAATTATATTATAAAGTTAAAAATATTTTTTATAAATGAATTTTCTTACAAATTCACTTACTTTGAAAAAATGTTAAAGTATTTGTTTTAAGAAAATATTAGCTGATATGTTGATTGTATTATAAATTTAGAAATTTTTTCATATTTGAATTTTTTTTATAAATACAATTACTTTAAAAAGAATGTTTAAGAGTTTGTTTAACGTTAAACAAACTTATTTCAAAAAACTTCTAATACTAGAATTGCTTGTAGTATTATAATTAATGAGTTAATTATATTATAAAGTTAAGAATATTTTTATAAATGAATATTAAAGTATTTGTTAAAGAAAACATTGGCTGGTAGGTTTTAAAAAACTTATAACACTAGAATTGTAACTAGAGTTATAATTGATAGATTGATTATTATAATTTTTCAAAGTCCTACTATTATGTTAAAAAAGGTATTTTAAGTTTATCACAAGCAGTAATAAAGAATTAATTACTAATAGACTAAGAAAAATTGTTTAATAGATTTGATAATATATGAATATAAACTTTCACTATTATTGAATTATATAATTATTACTAAAGATGGTGTTGCAATTACCAAAAAATATCACAATTGTGTTACAACTTATGTCATAATTAAATTTATTAATGTCACAATTAGGTTATGAAATTTAAAAACAATTATGAAAAATATAAAAAACCATATTTAATCATTACTTTGTATTGTAAAATTTGTTATTACTATTACAATTACAATATTATTTTTTAAATTTGCAATTATTAAACAATAGGAATTTAAACTCCCGATGTGGTCTTAACTTTGATGATAGTACGTCAGATCTTAATCTGATCGTAGTATTATATTCTTTCAAACAAAATTATGTTATGCTATTATAATAATCTTTTTAAAAAAATTTTTATAATAATAAAAATTAAAAATTTATCAATGTTCTTTGGTTTTTTTTTATAGAAAAACTTTCTTATTCTCTAAATAATATTGGCTAATAAACATGAGTATAAGATAAATTTATATAGTAAATGAAATTATAATTTTAAATTAATTATAATAAAGCCAATTTATAAAGAAATTTATAGATTTATTTATATTGTAAAAAGGGTATTATAAATCAATAATCTTAATACTGTAATTAAAATGTTAAATAATTAACAAGAGGCGATTTAAAATTCATTAGTAGTATGTTTCTCTTTAAAATTAATTTTATTGAGTATAGCATTTTGAAGAATGACAAATTAAAAATTTGTCAAAATAATAAAATAGTTGGACCTTAAGTAAGGTGCTGAAAAAACTTTTTTTATTGACAGATTTTTTTTCCAATAAACAATGACGATAAACTAATAAGCCACCTAAAAGGCTTTGTTGGGATTTACAAAACAAACTTACAAGCCATAACTAGGCACTGCCTTTTCAAACACCGCGTGACGCATCACGTGACATTTATATGACAAAATTTTCCGCAGCACTTTTATATCATGTTAGCAGAAGCCCAGCCCAAGAAAATACCAAAGCTAAAAATAATAATATGATCAATCATGAAAAATGTATTCGGCCTTTCATTTTTTGTAAGTTTAGGAAATATATGGATTACTCGTTAATATTAAGCATACATGTCTAAAAAAAAAAAAAAAAAAAAAAAGAATCTAAATGACGTTCCAAATAATACTTGTTTACTACGATGTTGTAGTCATTCTTAAGCAAAAATAGTCAAGTCCATAAATAAGACAATAAAATGATTCTTATTCGAATTGAACTGACCTTTATATTACAATTTCGTTTCGCCCTCATGAATTCTTTATTATGACCTGCAAGATCTTAAAATGATTAAGGATTTTAAATAAAATTTGTTATTACGCGGTACTTTTTTTTTCGCGGCGATCAAATATTTTATTTCCGTCTTTTTAATTAGTGATTTTTTTTTATTTAGGCTTTGGGACGTATTAGGAAGACATTTTAATTTTTTAAATTTTATTTTTATTTTTGAATTATTTGTCATAAACGATAATATTACAAAGATCTAATATGGTATCATCAATAAAACTTAATGATTCGGCAAAATCTATGACGAATACTTAAACAAATCACTCCTAATATAATTCCGCCCGATCATTATTAAGCTACTACAAAACGTTGTATTTCAGATCGGTTAACTTAATAAACCGGTTAAATTTTTGGTTCCATTTGTTCTTTGAGAAAATATCTAAAGTCATATTGCAAGAATAGGTCCTCTGACGACAGTTTTTTTTTGATCTTATCGTCTTATAAAAGAATTTATATAATTGTTTGAATGTTATAATTTAATATAATTTTAATTGACAAAATAAAAATATTGCTTATATTGCTTGAACATACAGTAAAAAGCGAGTTGCTGACGAAGATAGAATTCGGCATCTTTTTTTTTTAAAAAAAAAAAATTATAGAAAAATACGACCGGTTTTGGGTAAAAGAGATTTATTTGATATTTCATAAAAACAAAAGGTTCTAGATGATGTAATAAATAACGAAGCTGCTAAAATGAAATTTAAATTTCCTTTTAGTAATTATTTTATAATTAGGTCAAATATATGTTGTGTAGTATAATAATTGCTTCATTATTCGCTTGCACTTTAAATGTATGGTATGTTAATAATTAAAGCTCGATATATTGATCAACCTTGTTTTGACAATTTGCAATTAATTTTCCTTAATTTTCTTTTTTACGTAAAAATTTCACATTTTACTATCTAAAAATATATTTGTTAATTTAAACCTAGTTTTTAGTAGAGAATCTTTTTTAATATGTTACTAATGAAAGACTTAAGAAGCATAAAACATTCGTTTAAGATGGCTTTTGCATGGTGTCGTTCAATTAGAACTAAATTATTTTTTATTTTGATAAAAATTTTTAACCAATCGAATTTTGAGAATTAGTCACAAAGGCGCAGTAAAATAATTTATTAAAGGAATATAAATATATATTTCTAAAGTGACCGACTTTATCAGTAATTAAATGGATCATTTATTTTTATTTTGACATGCAAGGAATTGTTAACATTTCTATCACTTGTATCTAATGCTAATGAATATTTAGTTTCGCCCAATTTATCTACACAGTGTTTCCAAATTAAGGTTTCGGATATATGAGGTGTGAAAGTTCACTGGGCGAAAAGTTTCGGATAAAATTGTTTCGCCCGAAACAATAGCTACACGTTACAAATAAATCTGTAAAAAAAAATGGTGACTAAAGCAAAGTAGTAACGAGGCTTAGTAACGAAGTATAAATCGTCCAATAAACCATTGTTACAAATTAAAGAACAATTTGACGCAACTAAGAATATGTTTTAAATTTATTATTTTGTACGTCGTTGTGTAAAGTTTTATTTTACTTTTATCGACAAGAATTTACCCGTTCCGTTAGTCATTAGTTACCTTTGTTACCCTTAATATAGTAAATGGAGTAACAACTAATATGAAAAAAAATAAGCTTTCGTGCGTTGTTTCACAAGAATAAGGATATCTCCGGCTTCTTTTTTTTTTGTTTATTTTATCTCATTTTGCATAATATAAATAATCCAGATGAATTAGTTAAATGTCAATAAGTTATATAAATAACATTAATAGCAACCGCCCACAAACTATGTAACATAATAATTGAAGGCATTAACGAAGATCCACCATTTGGCCTAAAAAAAATAAAATAAAATAAAATAAAATAAATAAAAATTAATTAATGAAAAAGAATTTTTTTTTTTTTAAAAACAAAATACTCACAGTGTTGCTCCATAAGTGACGCCTAATTTACTACATTCTTCTTTAAATTTATCAAGCGGTACAACAGTAATATTATTCGTTGGAGTAGCAAAACACATTGTGCAATTTTTTAGTTGTTGATAGAATTTATCGTTACACATGCAAGGCGCCAACTTTGGATCTAAAAGAAATAATATAAATTTTTTTTATAATTTTGAAAATTTAAGAAAACTTAGGACATACCATCGACACCATAACTTCCAGAACTTGTGGATTTGAATGGTGGACTAAAAACTCCGCCACAAATTGTCAATGTTTCATTGACAGCAATACAAGGATCATTAGGAGTATTACAACTTTTTTTAGAGGAAGGTCTAAACACACAAATAATTAATAAAGTATAACTTAACAAAGAAAAAATTACGATACAAAAAAATCATTTTTGGGTATATTTACGGTGGAGGTGTTGTTGGATTTTGTTTTGGTGATGGTGTTGGTGATGGTGGAGCTTTAGCTGACGTTTTAGGCGGACTGTTAATAAAAATTCATAAATTATATTAGAATTAAATGAAATTATAATTTGTGTTTATGGTTAAAGAATATTTTCAGACTTACGTTGCGGGCTGTTTTCTACAATTTAAAATCAAATTATTGTACAAGTTAAGAATCATTTTTTTGGGGAAATATTTTTAAATAACTTACGATGGGTCATTAACATCATAGCCTGCATTGAGACAATATCCCGCAAAGGTTTCAAAAGAATCTACTGTAACATTAACTCCTGGACCTTGGAAACATGTGGTACAACCAGCAACATAATCATAAAATTTAGCAGTACAAGAACATTTATATAAACCCATTTTATCAGGATCTAAAAATATTTTATAAAAAATAAAAATAATTATTTTTTTTGTCATCAAAAGGAAAATTAAAAGTTAAAAGTTTACAGGAATTCGTTTTTTATTATTCACCTTTAATATTAAGGCTGTAATGAAATGGTTTAGCACCACTTAATGCTTCAGGAGTTACAGGAGTGAGATACCCGTCACATGGAGCTAATGTATCATTTGCCATTTTACATGGATCATTTATACCATTGCAATTCGGATCCATTTGACCATAAACATTAACCGAAAAGAATTGTACAATAAAAAGCAATAAAATTAATGATCTCATCATTTTTCTTCATGAAAATTTCTTATAAGCAAAATATAAAAAATTTTTTTTATTAAAAAGAATGCGAAAATGGGACTTATATTTAAATATATTTTATTTTAAGATTAATAAAATTATCTTAACATTTTTCTTAAAAAGGGGTTATAAAAGCGTGTCGTGTTTCAAAAAAAAATTTTCTTCTTGTACAATGTCGTGCTCCGAGAATTTTGGTATCACGAAATTTTTATTGACTTGTACAGATAAACGCCACAAAAAAAGGAGGTAATCAACCAATGTTATATTTTCCGAGAAAACTTAACCTGAACAATAATAATTGCATGTTAAGTTATTTCGCAGTTTACCCTCACTGTTATAAATGTGCCCAATTCGTATGCATTTTAAATATTAATTAAACATCAATTATTTTCTTATTTTATGATGAAGTTTAGAAAATTAATAAATAATATAATAAAAAAGATTTAGATAATTTTTTAATTTGTGATGTTACCTTGACGATATCTTATAAAAATAAATTGTTGGTTTGTTGTACTATTTATACACTGTGACATTCTACAAAAGCTAATCAAAAAAAGTACCTGTTTGTTTAGAAACAATAATTTCATTAATCGCTCACAGACCATTTATAAATTAATTTTCTATTCAATAACAGGCGAAATTATGAAATTAATTATAATGAATGGTAGCAGAGAAGAGTTATGAATGCATATTTTATCTATTCGATATCTAAAGTTACGTTATACAGAAAGAACAATTTTTACATGTTTTAGATTTTTACTTTTTTTTATTTGGTATATTATTAGACTTCTTGTTTACATCGATTAATCCAATACATATACAGGATATACAGGATAAAATATGTTTATTTAATAACCATAATCCCTCTCATTAAAATAAATTAATATTTTCTTTATGATGGTCTTATCAAATTTATCCGCTGATTTATAATAAGAATCATGGGTGTAATTATAAATAAGAAAATTTATTTTAAAAAACTACTTGCTTATTTTAAAGAATATTTCTAACTATAACCGATTATAACGATACCGGATCATGTGACACATGATTTTTCTTTATTAAAAAAATGGCGTCTGTGGCAAATAACTAGTGACAAATAGGTTTTCACACCCTAAAAAAACTGTTCCCAGATTAAATAGAAAAAAATGAAACATGGGTGACGCGTTGTGACAGATTATTATATAATCACATGACCCGAGCTTTTCAATATTATATCACATGATCCGTGATCGTAACCGCCTGATGATTACAGGTAATTTTCTATTTTAAATATCAGTTATTTTAATATAAATATTAGATATACATTTAACTTTACTACGGATATGTACGTTAAAATTCTGACTATTCAGTTGGATTCTCTTTTTAACGATAATAGTGTTGCGTCGTTAAATCTTATAGCTTTTTATAAATTTTTAAAAAAAAAATATTAAAAAAATTTTGTTAGTTAATTATATATGTTGAAATTTTTATATAAAGTTCGGTAAGTTGAGGTATTTCTTTATTGTATATATAGAATAAGGATTCGTCCCTAAAAATCAAAACTTTTGATTTAATTTTCATTATTAGGATATATTGCACGATAAATTATTCTCAATTAGCATTTGATTAGCAAAATAAAATTGGTAAGGCCCATATGATTCGATTTTATTTTCACAACGGGTTAACCGACGGGTTACCCACCTACAATTACCGGTCACGACCCGGATATCTGGCCCACCTGTGTGTAATTCTGTTGCACCCGACCCGGGTCCAATCCCTAAAATATTTTTTCATTCCGCTTGGGATTCTTGCACAATATCCATCTGTTTTAGATTTATTGTAATGTGAATTGCTTTTTCTACAATAGAATGTGATAAATATTAATTTGTGAGATAACATTAAAAACATGAAGAAGCGCGTAAGAAAATAAACAAAGATAATTCTAAAAAAAAAAAAAGTATTAATAATTCCACCGGTATATGAACAATACACACCTGTTATTCCATATGAAGTTACGGATAACTGAGCTTATGCATGGGTTATATAATAATCACATGCGCATACGCGCATTGATTATATCTATATCCCGTGAATAACATCATATGGAATAACAAGAATTTATTGGATTGGTTAAAAAAAAATAATTGTAATTATTTATTTCTTATTTTTACATAATGCAAAATGTAATTATTGTTCATAGATCTTAGGTATTTTATACCAACGCTAATTGAAATTGTAGATATTAAAAGAAAATTAAATGTTTATTCATTTAAGGGTTACACGGTAATCAAAATTTAGAACGTTCACGACCATTTGGGTGATCGGCCATTATAATCACATCACATTACGGATCATATGATTTACATTGATCTATTTAATAGCCGATCACCCATTCCATTTTCCGCTTTTCTAAGAAGAAAAGTATTTATGCATGAGGAAACAATTATTAACGAATTTTCAAACTAAAAAAGCAATGATAGTCAAGGGCTGAAATTAATAAATAATGACCATTTAGAACGGTCTTGGGAAAAACCCTCCCTACCACAAACTTTTTACAATTTTTTAATGAATTAATGTAAAAATGGTTTTTAAATTCAACCCAAATAAAACCTTGAAAGACTTGGAAAATAGAATTAATGAATTAGAAGAAAGTAAAAAGATTTACAAAGAAGAAAATCAATTGTTATTCACCTTTTTGTTTGACGAATTAGGTAGTAGTGATTTAGATAATTTAAGAGAATTATTAGCAGGAAAGAAACTTACTGAGATAATAGTTGAATCAGAAAATCAGAGGCGAAAAATTCAAAATTTAACATCAAAAACAGAGGAATTTTCAAACTTATGTATCCAATTCAAATATTTGGAAGAAAAGTTTGACGAACATGAAAAAAAAGATAAAGCCAAACAAGAAACGATCAATGATTTAGAAGCATTGGTCAGAGAGCAAGGAATAGCTGTTGAAGTCAAGCAAGTAACTATCAACGACTTAGAAGAGAAGATTAAAGAACAAGAAGAACGAGCCAAAGAAAATATCAAAAATTTTGAAGAAACAACTATTAAAGAGCGAAAAGAATCTAAAGCTCAGCAAGAAACTATTAATGTTTTGGAAGAAAAGGTTAAGGAGCGAGAGAAAGAAGTCAAAGTCAAGAAAGAAATAATTAGTTATTTGAAACAAAAGATCGAAGAACGTAATGAAAATATTAACTCCAAGCAAAAAAGTATTAACAACTTGAAAGAAAATATTAGAGAACGAGATGAATTGACCGAAAGCAGGCAAGAAACTATTAATAATTTAGAAGAAAAGATTAGGGAGCAAGAAGAAGTAACTGAAATTAAAGCCAAAACTATTTATGCTTTAGAAGAAAAAATTAAAGAGCGAGAAGAAGAAACCAAAGTAACTATTAATTATTTAGAGGAAAACATTAAAGAGAGAGATATAGAAGCCAAAACCAAGCAAGAAATTATTAGCGATTTAAAGAAAAAGATCGGAGAACGGGATGAAGAAATTAACGCAAAACAAAAAATCATTAATATCTTAGAAGAAACAATCATAGAACAAGGAGAAGTAGCTGAAGACAAGCAAGTAACAATTAGTAATTTAGAAGAAAGGATTAAAAAGCAAGAAGAAGTAATCGAATCCAAAGAAAATACTTTTTATGCTTTAGAAGAAAAGATTAAAGAACAAGAAGATGAAGTCAAAGCCAAGCAATTAACTATTAATAATTTAGAGGAAGAGAATAAAGAACGAGAAGTAGAAGCCAATACCAAGCAAGAAATTATTAAAGATTTAAAGGAAAAGATCGGAGAACGAGATGAAGAAATCTTCGAAAAGCAAAAAATTATTAATATCTTAGAAGAAACGATTAAAGAACAAGGAGAAGTAGCTGAAGCTAAGCAAGGAGCTATTTGTAATTTAGAAGAGATGATTAGAAAGCAAGAAGAAGTAATCGAATCCAAAGAAAATACTTTTTATGATTTAGAAGAAAAGATTAAAGAGCGAGAAGAAGAAGCCATAGCTAAGCAATTAACAATCAATTGTTTGGAAGAAAAGATTAACGAGCGCGAAGTAGAAACCAAAGTCAAGCAAGATATTATTAGCAATTTAAAAGAAAAGATCGGAGAACAAGATGAAGAGATTAGCGCAAAGCTTAATACTATTAACAACTTAAAAGAAATAATTAAAGAACAAGAAACAGTAAGTGAAGCCAAGCAAGAATCAATTAATTATTTAGAAGAAAAGGTTAAAGAGCATGAAGAAACATCTACAGTCAGTCAAGAAACATTTAACTATTTCAAAGAGCAAGAAAAAGAAATTAGAGCCAAACAAGAAATGATTAATAATTTAGAAGAAAAAATTATAGAGCGAGAAGTAGAAGCCAAAACTATGAAAGAAGTAATTTATGATTTAAATAATAAGATCAGAGTTCGAGATGAAGAAATTAACGCCAAAAAAAATACTATAAACAACTTAAAAGAAAAGATTAAAGTACAAGAAGAAGTAAACGAAGCCAAGCAAGAAACAATTAATGATTTAGAAGAGAAGGTTAAAGAGCGAGAAGAAACGGCAAAAGATAAACAAGTAGCTATTAATTATTTAGAAAAAATGGTTAAAGAGCAAGAAAAAGAAACTACAACAAAGCAAGAAATAATCAGTAATTTAGAAGAAAAGATAATAGAACGAGAAGTAGAAGTTGATGCCATTAAAGAAGTAATTTGTGAATTAAATCTAAAGATTGAAGATCAAGATGAAGCCAAGCAAAAAGCTATTAACAACTTAAAAGTAAAGATTAGAGAAAAAGAAGAAGTAACCAAAGCCAAGCAAGAGAAAATTCGTGATTTAGAAGAAAAGATTATAGAGCGAGAAGTAGAAGCCAAAGCAGTAATTTATGATTTAAAACAAAAGATCGGTATTCGAGATGAAAAAATTAACGTCAAGCAGAACACTATAAACAACTTAAAAGAAAAGATTAGAGTACAAGAAGAAGTAACTGAAGCCATGCAAGAGTCAATTATTAATTTAGAAGAAATAATTAAAGGGCACGAAAAAGAAGATGAAACAATAGCAAAAACTACTAAGTTTTTAGAAGAAGAGATTAGAGAACAGGAAAAATTAACCAAAGCCAAGCAAGAAACTATCAATGTTTTGAAACAAAAGGTTAAAGAGCGAGAAGAAGAAGTTAAAGCCAAGCAGATAAATATTAATTGCTTAAAGGAAAAGGTTAAAACGCGAGAAGAGGAAGCCAAAACCAAGCAAAGCACCATTATCGATTTAAGAGAAATGATCAGGGAACGAGATGAAGAAATTAAGGCCAAGCAAAAAACCATTAATAACTTAAAAGTAAAAATTTTGGAGCAAGTGAAAAGGACTAGAGAGACAATTGATGATGAAAAAGAAAAAAACACAGAGCAAGAAGAACAAGAATTGGATACTATTACTGAAAGTTTAACCATTACTAAGCAGAATCAAGAATGCATATTAAAGACTTCAGGAGGATTGCAAAGATATCGAAAATTAACAACCCTTCGCTGCGAAAATGTTCAAATAACTAGTTTACCAAATTTGCCTGACTCTTTAATAACTCTGAATTGCCCTCGTACTCCAATAACTAGCTTGCCAACATTGCCTAATTCCTTAAAAGAACTTCGTTGCTATAGCACCTCAATAACTAGCTTGCCAACATTGCCTAATTCCTTAAAAGAACTCAATTGTTCACGTACCAAAATAACAAGCTTACCATCTTTACCTAACACTTTAACAACTCTCAACTGTAACAATACACCATTAACTAGCTTGCCAGTTTTACCTAATTTCTTAACAAAACTCTATTGCTCTAGTACTAAAATAGCAAGTTTACCAACTTTACCTAACTCGTTAACATATCTAAACTGCGACAATATTCAGATAAAGAGCTTGCCAACTTTGCCTAACTCCTTAACAACTCTCAACTGTAGCAATACCCCATTAACTAGCTTGCCAACTTTGCCTAATTCCTTAACGGAACTCTATTGCTACGAAACACAGTTGACTAGACTACCAACTTTACCCAATTCCTTAAAAGAACTCCGTTGTTATAATACTAAAATAACCAGTTTACCAAATTCACCCAATTCACTAACGTATATATCACCTAAATCTTTAATAACCCCTTTTAGTTAGTTTAAAGTCCATACTTTTTGGGATAGAGTTTTAACTTGTATGGATCAGGAATTTTAGGGAAAAAAAATATGGTAGCAAATTATATTGTTTTACCATCGAAACTGAACTAAATATTTGAACATTTGTTGCAATTAAGAATTATATTTAAATAAACCCTTTACAATTTATACTTTATTATTTAATCTATTTTTTGAAAACTTTTTTTTATTATCAAAACAAATATTTTTAAAACCGTGATACAGGACGTCAGATAATGGAATGTTTTTTGTTTATTATTCGTATATTAAAAACTTCTTGGGAAGAAACGAGCATATAAAATTTAACCACGCTTACAACTCATGAAATTGATTTTCGTCAGAAGTTGGAATATCCAGAATTCGGGTTGGAGGTAATCTTGACCGATTAATAGATTAATAGAACCGGTCCTTACGGTCCTCGATCATAATTGTGTCCAAAATATTGAATACTATGTGCGTGCAGTTATTATAATAAATCTTTAAAACCTCGAAGTTGTTACATATGCTAAAACGTGAATTGCCAAGAAATTTCGAATATCGATTCAATCGAATCTCCAAATTTTTTTTCATGGACGTTCAACTTGGCTTCATACCAGTTTCTAATTTAAGCAAAATGATCAACACAGCATTGAAAAATACTTTGGAGCTAGATCGATTAATATGTAAAAAATAAAAAAGATTCGATTCGATTCGATTCATTTTACTATGTTGAATCGATTTTCGCAGAATCGATTCTAATCCCTATTTCGAATTAATATGACTTTTATGCTAACTAACGGTATATGAACGTATGCTTTTTTATAATCTAATTATATCAATCTTAAATTCAGCAGATTCCGAGCTTAGAACCAATCAAAAATTTTTTTTTTTAATTAATCAAATGCTCTAATTGTATAAATTTAAGTTGATGCTCCTAGTTTTAAGTTACTTTATGGGAGCCAAGCAGAATTGAAGATAAACCGAGGGAACCGTCCCATCTCCTAGTGATTTGCGCTCTTAGAATCTAAAACAACCAAAAAGATGTAAAAAAAAAAAAGAAAGATCTGAGAAATAAATCAATGATAGATGCAATCAAACTCGAAAGTTGAGTAACCTAATAAATAAAAAAAAAACATAATAAAAAAAGAGAATTAAAAACAAATCTTATTTACCATAGAAATCACCTAAATAATAAAAGTAAAATAATAATAAGAATAAATAATAATAGACAAAAAGATATTATATAACTTTGAAATTTTTATAAGTTTCAAGGTTGGAAAAAGTGTTTACATGTTCGGGGCTTGCTTGAATTAAGTAGGATATTTTGTTATCAATCCACATATATGGTATTTAATTTCGTAAATCTAGATTGCAAACCCGACAATCGCAATCAAACAGTTTAACAGCTCGAGTTACATCGTTAAAAATTAATTTCTAAACTTTTGTTGATTAATCAATCCTAGATTAGCCACTATTTTTTTCAAGTAGAGTAGCTTGTTCGATTAGCTCGAGCATGAAATTTATTTCTTCAGAAACTACGACATAGGGTTTCAATAATCATCTTTCACCATTATATTAAATGACAAGGAACACGTTATTCTCAATTTTTTTTGGAAATAGCGTATGATTGATTATTAATTTTAATTATTTTTTTAGAAATTCTAAATGATCCTTATATAAAGATTTTTTATATATCTATGTTTTGATTGACTTATGCATTTAGACTTTATTTTTCATATTAGTCGTTACTGGCGTTACTTGTCTCGATCTTTTTTTTTTTAAAAAAAATTTAATTTATAAAAAATATTATATGGGTTAGTACGTACAAAAATCAGGTTTTGATCATATGATTTATTTAGTACCGCAGCATTGATATTTACAGTATGATTGGTCAACCGATCAGTCAAAATCGGACCAAAACGATCGGTCATCCCTACTTGGATTCCTATTTGCTCTTTCAATGATCAAGAGATTACATTACGTATACCGGTATCATGCTCATTACTCAAAATTTTTGCATATAAAGAGTAGTGCATAACTTGATGATGGTTATACATAGGGTTGGAATTTGTATGTACTAGATAAATTAATACTTTACTTGTACTAATTTTATATTAATTAATTTAATTCTCTAAATATTTTATTTTAAAAAAATAAAACGCTCGTACAACTCGAAGTACAGTGGTACAATTATTAGTACAGTTAGTACCGTTAGTACAGTTAGTACATTATTTAAATACTTATTTTCAATAATGATAAAAGTACATTGCGAAAGTATGATTCGTTAATTTGATAATTCTGCTAATATAATTTGCTTTAAAATAAAATATCATAAAAAATTTATATTAATAATTTATGTTTAAATATTAAATCAAAGTATACGCGGTATTATTTGGCCCAAAATTTTTGTGATGGCTTATTTAATCTTCAATATTCAATTCTTTTCGTTAATGGAAGCAAGTCTTAACATTTATAGGTAAATCGCACGTATGACATCAGATATAAGCTACTGTACATTGAACATTGGTGATTTATGGGAAAAAAATAAATATATTAAAAAAATAATATCAATATAATAAATTTTATTCACAAAATGAATGTATTGCTTTGAAGATTAGTGTGCTTGAAACAAGATATGCAATAAGCATTGTCTATTTGACTAATTACACTTAGAAAATTATGATATTGGACTATTTATGGTAAAATTTTATAAGTATTAATAAAAGTTTATATCCCTCTTCAAATAACGAATATTTAGCAATTAAATATATTATATTCAAATCACCCGGGTAAGTTGGATTGATTCTAATTGTTTTATTTGGATCAACTGGTGAAAATTACCTTTTTGATATGTTTTGTAGCGGTCCAAAAATATGTAATTTCGAACCATCAAGACAACCAACGTCCTTTAAGCACGCAAAACAGGGCTCGCCTTATTTAATTATAGAGCCCTGAAATGTTCATACTTTGTCCGTGATGGGATGATTTGGCAGCTGTATCACGACTCTTAAGTATTTTTCCGTTCATATTTTGTCTTTCTACCAATCCATGCGTGATGGATCTATGTATGAAGTCATTTTTACTACCATTACAGCGGGATATATAGTACCTAACCTAAAAGCAAAATTAGCATGAAAATTACGGAAATCAAATTATTAGTATCATTAATTAAACTTCGATCATCAGGAACCATCAAGGGCAAGTTCGTCGGACTGTGCTACTACCATATGCTGGAAGTTTGAAAAGGAATATTTTTGCTACAGATATGATGCGGGAAATATGATGAAATAAATTTGGGAAGTATAATGAATTGTTTTGGTTAATGAGTAATGTATAAACTTGATAAGCCAAGTTCGATTATGGTATCGATAAATTAATTAACCAAACTTATCTTTTTTTGTGATAAAGTTCTGCTTGAGAATCGAATTTGGAATTTTGTGGTCATTTAAAATGATTCCGGCGTAGCCTTTTCGAATTATGGATTCTATAAAGAAGGCAAAACATAACTATCCCTTAAATCGTAGGGTTTTGCAGGCAAATTTGCCTGCTTATTTACTATAAATTCTCTTCTGATTTACTTTTAT